CCCCCCGGCGCAACCTCCCAACCCAACCCTCCAGCACAACGCCCCAGCATAATCCCCAGAACAGCCCCCAGCACAAACCTCCAGCACAATTCTCCCTGCACGACCCCCCAGTACGACCCTCCAGCGCAACCCCCAGCACAATCCCCGCAGCCCTCCTCCCCCCAGCACAGCCCACCGCACAACCCCCCAGCGCAACCCCCCAGCATAACCCCCCAACACATCCTCCCAGCACAACCCCCCCGCACAACCCCCCCGCGCAAACCCCCTTGCACAGCCCCCGAGCATAACCCCCCAGCACAACCCCTCAGCACAGCCCCCCAACACATCCCCCAGCACAGCCCCCCGGCATAACCCCCCCTGGACAAGTCACCAGCACAATCCCCCAGCACAACCCCCCAGCACAACCCCCAGAACACCCCAGCACCCCCCCCAACACAACCCCCTAGCACACACACACACACACCCTGCACAAATCCCCAGCACAACCCCCCAGCACAACCCCCAGCACAACCACCAGCACAACCCCTAGCACAACCCTCAGCACAACCCCCCAGCACAACCCCCCAGCATAACCCCCCAACACATCCCCCCAGCACAACCCCCGGCAGAACCCCCAGGCACAAACCCCCAGCACAACACCCCGGCAGAACCCCCAGGCACAACCCCGCCAGCACAACCCCCCAGCAACCCCACCCAGCACAACCCCCCAGCACAAGCCCTGGGCATAACCCCCCCTGAAACAAATCCGCCACACCACCCCCAGCACAACCTCCCAGCCAATCCCCCCCAGTCACAACCCCCCAGCACAACCCCCAGCACAGACCCCAAGCCAACCCCCACCAACCCCCAGCACACCCACAAGCGCGACCCCCGGCACAACCAACTCCGCACAACACCCCATCACAATCCCCCCATCCCTCCTCCCCCCGCACAACCACCGCACCACCCCCCAGCCAACCCCCCAGCAAACCCCCAACACTCCTCCCAGCACCCCCCCCGCACCCCCCCCCCCGCGCAAACCCCCTTGCACAACCCCCGAGCTAACCCCCCACACCCCTCATCCGCACAGCCCCCCAACACATCCCCATCATAGCCCCCCGGCATAATCCCCTTAACAAGTCCCCAGGCACAAGAGCCCCCAGCACACCCCTCCAGCACACCCCTCCAGAACCCCAGAACGCCCCAGCACCCCCCCAACACTACCCCCTAGCACACACAACACCACCTGCACATCCCCAGCACAAACCCCACAGCAACCCCCCAGCACAGCCACCAGCACGCCCCTAGCACAACCCCCTCAGCACAACCCCCCAGCACAACCCCCCAGCACAACCCCCCAGCATAACCCCCCAACACATCCCCCCAGCACAACCCCCCGGCAGAACCCCCAGGCACAAACCCCCAGCACAACACCCCGGCAGAACCCCCAGGCACAACCCCGCCAGCACAACCCCCCAGCAACCCCACCCAGCACAACCCCCCCAGCACAACCCTGGGCATAAAACCCCCTAACCCCCCCTGAACAAATCCCCAGCACCACCCCCCAGCACAACCTCCCAGCAATCCCCCCCAGCACAACCCCCCAGCACAACCCCCCAGTACAGACCCCAAGCACAACCCCAGCACAACCCCCCAGCACAACCCCCAAGCGCGACCCTCCGGCACAACCCCTCAGCACAACCCCCCAGCACAATCCCCAAGCACAATCCCCCAGCAAAATGTCCTGGCACTACCCCTCAGCACAACCCCCCAGCACAACCCCGCAGCACAAGCCCGCAGCACAACCCACCACGACCAGCAAACGTAACCCCCAGCACGACCGCCCAACACGACCGCAGTGATTTGCGGCGTGCTGATTTGCTAGACGAAACCTTGTATTTGGTGCATGCCGCGTCGTGGTTCTGCTTCTTGTTCAACAGGAGTAAGAATGTTATTCTCTGCCCCGCCTGGAGGCTGCAATATCTGCGCGACAACCTCGAATGTTGAATTATATTTGCTTTGAAAGTAATAGTATGTTCGAACTCCCTGTACATGTTGCTATAGTTTGCGCCCTGACAACCCTGTATCGTACCAAAACACTGTTTCTGGTATGCCGTTTGTGAGAACCTTTGGAACTCGAGTAATTTGTTGAGACGAATGTGCGCGGCGCCACGGCGAAAGCCACATTTTGAAAACTAGCCGCCCTTCATCCGTGAAGCTCTTGCAAGCTTAGGACGAATTTGCGCGGCGCTAAGGCAAAGAGCCACATTTCGAAAACGGCTCGCCCTCCATGTTTGAAACTCTTGCAGACTATTGAGACGAATGTGCGCGGCGCCACATGTTGAAAACGACCCGCCCTCCATACATGAATGTGTTGCAACTTTCGAGATTCATGATCATACTTGGTGAGGACATCTCAGGCGAAACGCCCAGCCGGCCCTACCGATACCTCTCGGGGTGCGACAGGGACGGGTTATTCCGGCGGGGCGAATGTTCGGTTGGAAGTACGTAGGACTGAAATCACTTGAAGCCGAAGTCGGGAACAGCCCGGGATAATGTGAAAGACCATTGAGATCATTGAGGCTCGAGGATTTGGGAGACGTTGGGAGATTTTGTTTCGTTGAAAGTAGGGGATCATTCCAGTCCAGGGTCTAACCTATGTCACTATAGAGGTCCAGGGCCCCCAGGGTCAAATTATCTCGCCGATGGCAGGGGCTCGAACAGTTCTTTCTTCATATGATTCTACAGTGGGGGCTGCTTTATTTATAAGGTGGAAGAGGAGAATGAGGACGAGAAGGAAGAGGAGGAGGAGGAGAAAGAAGGAAACGTAGGAGGAGGAAGAGAAGGAAGTGAAGGAGGAGGACGAGGAGGAGGAGGAGTGGGAGCAGCAGGAGGGTAAAGAGCAGGAGCAGGAGGAGGAGGAACAAGTGGAGAAGGCGGAAGAGGAGTAGGATGAGGAGGAGGAGGAGGTGGAAGGAAGATGGAGGAGGGAGAGGAAGATGATGATGATGATGATGATGATGATGATGATGATGATGATGAGGATGAGGATGAGGATGAGGATGATGATGATGATGATGATGATGATGATGGTGGTGGTGGTGGTGATGATGAATGATGTGATGATGATGATGCGATGATGATGATGATGATGGTGTGGTGGTGGTGGTGGTGATGATGAATGATGATGATGATGCGATGGTGATGATGGTGGTGGGTGATGATGATGATGATGATGATGATTGATGATGGTGATGGATGATGATGATGCTGATGATGATGATGATGATGATGATGATGATGATGATGGATGATGATGATGATGGAGGAGGATGAGGAGGAGGAGAGGAGGTGAGATGAGGATGAGGATGAGGATGGAGGATGAGATGAGGATGAGGATGAGGATGAGGATGAGGATGAGGATGAGGATGAGGATGAGGATGAGGAGGAGTGAGGAGGAGGAGGAGGAGGAGGAGGAGGAGGAGGAGGTGAGGTGAGGATGAGGATGAGGATGAGGATGAGGATGAGGAGGAGAGAGGAGGAGGAGGAGAGGAGGGAGGAGAGGAGGAGGAGTGGGAAGAATATTGAGGAGGGAGAGGAAGAGGAGGAGGAGGTAGGAGTTGGCATTTAGAAGAGGAGAAAGAGGGGAGGAAGAGATGAGGAAGTAGGAGGAGGGGAAGGATGAAAGGGATGGAAGGAGGAGGAGGAGGAGGAGTGAGGGAGGGAGGAGGAGGAGGAGGTGGAATCTGTAGGACGGAGAGGAAGAGCAGGTAGACGGTAGGAGGTTAGAGGAGGATATACGAGGAGGAGGAGAGGAGGAGGAGGAGGAGGAGGAGAAGAGGGGGCGAAGGGGAGGAGGAGGAGGAGGAGGCGGAGGAGGAGAAGGTATTAGTAAGGGGAAGACATAGGAGGAGGAGGAAGAGGAGGAGGAGGGGAGGAGGAGGAGGAGGAGGAGGAGGAGGAGGAGGAGGAGGGGGAGCATAAGGAGAATGAATGGAGGGGACGAGGAGGAGGGGAGGAGGAGGAGGAGGAGGAGGAGGAGAAGTAGAAGGTACAAGGTGGAGGGACGAGGAAGAAGCGGAGATGAATGGAGGATACGGAAGAAGGAATCGGAGGAGGAGGAAAAGGAGGAGGAGGAGGAGGGAGAAGGACGAGGAGGAGGAGGCGGAGGACAAGACAAGGACGTCTAAGGCGAAATGGTAAGAAAGTCTAAGGCGAGCCTG